ATTCGACTTGGAATGCCTCTTTCTCAATCCTTCACTCTCTTCCACCCAGGGGCCTCTTTATTATTGATGATAAAGGTATCCTTCGACAGATCACTGTAAATGATCTTCCTGTTGGCCGCTCTGTGGATGAGACTCTGAGATTAGTCCAGGCCTTCCAGTTCACTGACAAACATGGTGAAGGTAAGTCATCAACCCGCTAATGAGGTAGCGGTATGGTAGGGTACAAAGGCTATTGGGTAAAAGGGCAATTGTGTCTTTGCAAGAAATGAAAATCTGGATTAGAGTGGTCTGTGGGGGTAGGGTAATAGACAAACCTGGAGAAAATCAAAGACTTTGTTAAAGCTTCATATTCTCCACCTCTGATCTGCTAATTTTGAATCAATGACTGATGCAGATTTGAGGAGACAGGGTTTCTCTGTAGCTTTGGAGCCTGTCCTGGAACTAGCTCTTGTAGACCAGGCTGGCCTACAAGGTGATCTACAGAGATCCACCTGCCTCTGCCTCCCGAGTGTTGGGATTAAAGGCGTGCACTGCATGGCCTGGCTGATCTTGCTGTTAATACCTGCACTCAGGAGACAAGTGGATCTCTGTAAGTTTGGTACCAGCCTGGTCTACCTAGTGAATTATAGGTCTAGGTCAGCCAGAGCTACCTACATAATAAGCCCTGTGTCAAAGAGATAAGGAAATTTTTGTTTGTTTTTTGAGACAGGGTTTTTTCCAGATTTTTTAAAAAAGATATATTGTTTATTAAAATTGTGTGTGTGTGTGAGTATTGATATGCCTCTGACACGGGACCCACAAACAAGACCACCACAGAGCCAGTATATGATGGAAACACACTGGGGTTTGATTACAAGTTAGCTAACTCAGACCATAATCCTTCCCTTCAACAGAGCTGGTGGGGGAGAATGGCCCTGAGTCTTCAGGGTAAGGAGATTTTAAAGGGGAAAACCCACACGGCAGGGTGGCATCAAGGCAAAAGCCTTGATGTTTCAGGATTGGATAAAAGTGTCAGTTTTTGAGTTGTAGGTTGGTATAGGGGAATTTCAAAACAGCAGTTAATCAGATACCTACAAGGACATTTGAAGAAAACATGTAAACGGATGTTGTTTGGACACCCTGGTCAGGTCACGTACTTTGACCAGGGCTGGGACAGTTTCTTGGGAATGTTTATGACTTTGCTGGGCTATATTTAACCGCCCCCCACCCCAAGTTGGGTCCCGTCTAAAATGGAGTTCAGCTGGGCGGTGGTGACGCATGCCTTTAATCCCAGCACTCAGGAGGCAGAGGCAGGGGATCTCTGTGAGTTCGAGGTCAGCCTGGTCTACAAGAGTTAGTTACAGGATAGGCTCAAAGCTACAGAGAAACCCTGTCTCGAAAAACCTAAATAAATAAAGAATAAATAAAAAATAAAATGAAGTTTGTTCTGCTGCTTCAGTATGAGCATCTAGAGGGTGTCAAGGTATTTATTTTAAGTTTGCTTTTTTGTTTTTGTTGTTTTTTTGAGGCAGGCATTCTCTGTGTAACAGTGCTGGCTTTCCTAGAACTCACTTTGTAGACCAGGCTGGCCTGAGATCTGCTTGCCTCTGGAATTAATCACCACCAGCCGACTTCTAATGTATTTTGAGACAGTTTCACTTGCATCAAGGCTAGCCTGGAATTTGGCCTGTGGGCACTTACTTGAGTGCTGGGATTAATAGGCATGAGTCATTCTTTTTTTTTTTTTCTTTTTTAAATGTACTTTTTTTTAAAAAAAGATTTATTTATTATATACATAGTGTTCAGCCTCCATGTATGCCTGCAGGCCAAAAGAAGGCACCAGATCTCATTGCAGATGGTTATGAGCCACCATGTGGTTGCTGTGAATTGAACTCTGGACCTCTGGAAGAGCAGTCAGTGCTCTTAACCTCTGAGCCATCTCTCCAGCCCTGGCATAAGTCATTCTTAGCTTTGTATTTGGTTTGCTTTTTTGATTATTTGTAAATATCACATCATGCACCCCAGTCCAACCAAAAAAAAAAAAAAAGTCAAATTAAGTTCATTTTGTGTTGTTCATATACTCATTGGAGCATGCTCAAACTCCTAGTGGCCTGCCCCACCACTGCCCCCCCCCATGGAAAGAAAAGTGTATCTTCTCATCTGCATCCCTGCCAGAAGCCATGTACTGTGGAGAACCATGTGGCAGCTGGTGAGGGATGGGGCCAACTCCTGTGCCCATGCCCACTAGGGGGCCACCTGTGGTTTGTTTTGATTTTGAAACAGGTCTCACTTGTCTGGAATGCACTATGTAGACCAGGTGGTCCTTTAAGTTCCAGAGACCTGCTGCCTCTGCTTTTTCAATGTTGTAGTAAAGGGATGTGCCACGAAAATTTGTAGTCTAGTCGGGCCTTGAATGTATAATCCTTTGCCTCTGTTTCTTCAGCGTATCTGCCAGTGTGTGCCACCAATATGACAACCCTTTGTTCATGGAGGAGGAGATAAGAGATACACACCACTGAGCAGGTTAATAATTAATGATACCTTTCTATTGCAGTATGCCCAGCTGGCTGGAAACCTGGCAGTGATACCATCAAGCCTGATGTCCAAAAGAGCAAAGAATATTTCTCTAAGCAGAAGTGAGCACTGGACCATTTTTCTGCCAGGCTGCATTGGGCAGCCAGAAGAAAATCTCTTGTATGCTCTTACTGTGCTTAAAAACAAAACTTGGTGTTATCCAAGACATGCCTTTCCTACAGTGCTAGGGGGTGGGGGTTGGCCTGAGCTGTGTTGTGGGTAGACTCTATGATACACCCGTTGCAGAAATCAGCCTGTTCTTTTTGTAGTATCTATTAAACTTGAAAATGTGAGGACTTGGTGAGCTTCATTTAAGAGGAATTTATTCTTTTTTATGTGTAGGTGGACATACATGAGTGTGAGAATATGGAAGCCAAAGGGTGTTCTTTGGGTGCTGTTTACCTTGGGTGTTCTCTCTCTCTCTCTCTCTCTCTCTCTCTCTCTCTCTCTCTCTCTCTCTTCAAGGTGGGGTTTCTCTGTATAACAACCCTAGGTGTATTGGAACTAGCTCGAACCCACAGAGATCCACCTGCCTCTGTCTCCAGAGTGCTGGGATTAAAGAACTTGTGGCACCAGTGCCTGGCCTGTTTGTTTTAAAGAGTTTATGCAGATGTTTTCCCTGCATATACACTATGTTGGATCCCTTGGAACTTGGGTTATGGATTGCTGTGAGCCATGGTGGGTACTGGGAATTGAACCTGTATCTATTACAAGAGGAATAAGTGCTATTGAACCATTTCTTCAGTTTCTTACTCTTTGAGGCAGAATCTCTGATTTATCTTGAACTTGACGTGTGGGTGTGGCTAACAAGCTCTCAGGATCTGCTTTTCCAGGGCTGGTTTTATAAGCATGGTCTATCATACCCGACTTCTTTTTTAATAGGGGTTCCATGAACCAAATTTATTTCCTCACAAGAGCACTTTGGCTGAGCTATCTCCATAGCTCCCACTATTCATAAAAAATTAGGTTTTAGAGCTGCCTCAGGGCTGGAGGTGTAGCTCTTGGTAGAGTGCTTGCCTGGTGTCTGCTTTGCTTCTCCTTTCTGTGTTATCTTGTGACTAAAAGCAACTTGGGGTAAGTGAATTTAAAACAGCCAGATGCTGTCTAGGAATGGTACTGTGTACAGTAGACTGGGCCCCTCTAAGTCAATTAGCCTCCCTACCTTAAAAAAAAATCCCATAAAATCTTCACAGGCCAGTCTAATCTAGGCAATTCCACAGTTGGGGGTTTCCTCTCCCAAGTGACCATAGTTTACTGTCAAGTTGACAGAAATGAATAGTTTGCATGGTGTGCACAAAGCCCCTGTGTTCTAAGCCTGCTGCCATGAAAACGGTGTAGAATACACCTGTAATCCCAGCACTAAAGAAGTGAAGGCAAACGAGAGTATAGGCTGTGCTCAGAGCACTCCAATCTGCACTGCCCAGAACTCAAGCATGACTGTCTAAGATTTTCTGAACAGCTGATTTGATGATCTTACTATTTGGCTCTTGTTCTGTACCCTTGGTGGCTACAGGGTTAGTAAACTCATTTGTGACCAATGTAGAACACACTAAGCAGAACACAGTGCAAGCACGTGGGTCTGAGTCCAGTCCCCAACAACTACATAAAAATGCCAGGACCAAAGCTGTATGTTTGTAATGTAAATGCAGGGGAGACAGGTAGATTGGCACTTGCTGGTTAGCAAACCTCAAATAAGCATCAAGTACAGGGGATTGTCTCAACCCACAGCACATGGCTCCCAACTGACTCTAAATTCCAGCCTCAAGAAGACTAAGACACGCTTCTGGCCTACACCCAAATGTAGTCTGCCTTGTAGCCTATTGGCTTTAATCTTGCACACATCTCAGAGTTCTGGGAGTAAGGAACTGATAGGCCTGACCATTTCTTTTTAATTTTATTTTTAGGATTTTATTTATTATGTATGCAGTGTTCTCCCTACAGATAGACATGCAGGCCAGAAGAGGGTACCAGATCTCATTACAGATGGTTGTGAGCCACCATATGGTTGCTGGAAATTGAACTCAGGACCTCTGGAAGGGCTCTTACCAGTGAGCCAGCTCTCCATCCTTGACCATTTCTTTTTCCTTCCTCTTAAATCACATGTTCATGGGGAGAGGGTACATCAGTGTATATGGGGTCAGAGTAGAGCTTCCAGGAGTCAATTCTCTCCTTCCATGAGGATGGATGGCAGGCTTGATGGTAAAATTCTTTAAGCTTTTAGTAGTAACATCACTACTATAGGTCAGTTTCAAAGTAGTTAATTTCAATAATTACTTGGCTTAGCCCTATGTGGTGGGTACCATTTAAAGGGTCCATACCCCTAGGATCCTCTAAATCAGCAATTCTCTGCCTGTGGGTAAAGACCCCTTTAGGGGTTGGCAGGATCTTCACAGGGGTAGCCTAAGACCATTGAGAAAACATTTACATTATGATCCATAACAACAAAATCAGTTATTTCAATAACAATGAATGTGATTTTATTGTTGGGGGTTACCACAACATGAGGAACTGCATTAGGAAGATTGAGAACCACACCTCTAAATAGTATCTTGTTGTACTACACAAAAATACAAGTTATGAGTCCAATATTTGAAGGCAGCTGCTGATTTTGAGTCTGTCTTGAATGTGTTTGTCTTGATCAGTGTAAATTGAGTCTTGACTCTCTCTGATGAGCTTCAGGAAAGAGTCAAAATAAATGTGCTTCTTTCACACATCTTTAATCCCACCACTCTGGAGGCAGAAGCAGGCAGATCTCTGAGTTGGAGGCTAGCCTGGTCTACAGAGTGAGTTCCAGGACAGCCATAGTCACACAGAAACCTTGTTTTGAAAACTTAAAAAAAAGGTGCTTTTTCAAAACCCAAATTATACCCAAAATAAATCTACCAAAGTGGGAGCCCACGGGGGAAAGGTATCAAGGGCCTGGGGAGAGAGGTGGTGAGACACTGGGGCTAAGCCAACTTCGTGCTCTGCTGAAATTCTGAGGCTTGGTAAGTGTGGAACTGGGATGCTCAGATGTAGTGCTAGGACGTTCTGAGGGCTGGGCTAAGCCTAATAGGGCCAAACGTTGGGCAGGTGGGGTGGAAAAGTAGATCTTCTGTTCCTCTGAGTACCGTTCTGCAGGAGTCACGGCGTCCCGGTACGTCCAGTCACGCCAATGGAAATTGAAGCCTTCAAGGAAAGTTATGCGGCCAGCTCTTGTAGGCACACAATCAGTGGACTTTCTGGGTGGCAAATTTGGCACTTCAATCCGTGGCAGCAACATTACCCCTTGTATAGCAAACCAGCCCCCAAATCGGGGGTGTATGCAAACACCTGCTATGTGCTGGGGAGAAGGGAAAAGAAAGGCAGAGTTACAGAGGCCATTTTGACACTAAGTCTAGCTACCATTATTGCAAGCTTTTTTTTCTTCCATTTATTTTTATGTGCAAGCAGTACCTACAGAGGCCAGCAGAGGGTGAGCAGCCAGCCTTGTGGGCGATGAATGCCACTCTTCTGTAGGAGCAACAAATGGCCCTAAACTTTGGCTAATCTCTCCAGCTCCTATTTTAGCTCACTTCCCACTCAGACGAAGCTGACCTCAGACTCACAGAGATCCACTTGCCTCTGACTCCTGAGTGCTGAGATTGAAGGCATGTGCTATCATTGCCTGGCTCTTTTCCTCATTTTTAAGATATTATTACTGTGTGTATATGAATGTACCTATGGGGCTCATAGGGCGGTTTCATGGATTTGGCTCTCTCTCCTTTACATGGGTCCCAGAGGCAAAACTCAGGTTGGTATGCTGGTATGGCACACAGTGCCTTTACCCCACTTCACAGTCCTGTCCTCGTCTTGACCACCTACTCATGGAAACATCCTAAAGAATAACCAAGGGCTTCCTTGAGCCCTGACCTTGAATTACTTGGCCTTTGGATTTTCCTGAGACAGCCAGGAATCACAAAGTTTTAAGATCATAACAGGTGGGGCTGAGGGGTGGTGGTGGCACACGGCTTTAATCCTAGCAGTCAGGAGGCAGAGGCAGGCAGATCTTTGTGAGTTTGAGGTCTGTCTGATCTACAGGAACTAGTTCCAGGACAGGCTCCAAAGCACCACAGAGAAACCCTGCCTTGAAAAACTAAAGGGGGTGGAGGGGAGTGGGGAGGGTGGGAGTGGGGAGGAAAGAACAAAGTAGGCAAGCTGGGTAGTCGTGGCATTTGGTGTATACCCAACTTTCAGGAGGCAAAGGCAGGTGTTTTTTTTCTGTGAGTTTGACCTGGTCTACACAGTTCCAGGACAGCCAGGTTTACACAGAGAAATCCTCTCTCAAAAACAAACAAACAAAACAGATCCTGCCTGGCTTAGTTGCCCATGCTTTAAATCCCAGTACTCCAAGGGCAGAGGCAGGCATCATCTCAATGAGTTCAAGGCCAGCCTACACAGGGAGTTCTAACACAGAAAAAAGTATGGAGAGACCTTGTCTCAAAAAGAAATGGAGGGCTGGAGAGATGGCTCAGCGGTTTAGAGCACTGACTGCTCTTCCAGAGGACCCGGGTTCAATTCCCAGCACCCACATGGCAGCTCACAACTGTCTGAAAATCCAGTTCCGGGGGATCTGACACCTTCACACCAATGTACATAAAGTTAAATAAACCATAAAAATATTAAAAAAAAAAAAGAAATGGAGAAGGAAGTTGGTGAGATTACTCTGTGAGTGAAGGAGCTTGCAGTCAAGACTAACAACCTCAGTTCAACAGAGAAACCTTTCGTGAAGACAGACAACAAACAAAATCTCTCTGAAGAGATGGTTTAGTGGTCAAGAGCACTGACTGCCGTTCTTCCGAGGTTCTGATTTCAATTCAAAGCAACCACATGGTGGCTTCCAACCATCTGAAATGAGATCTGGCGTCCTCTTCTGACCTGTAGGCATACATGCACGCAGATCAATGTATACATAAAAAATAAATAAATAAACAGTTTTGCGGGGCGTGGGGTAACAAGATAGGCTTTCTCTGTTGTTTTGTAGCCTGTAACTTCTACGGCGAATCATATCAAAGACACGGCCCGGGGTGCCTGCCACAACATGTTGCCCATAGTTCAGCTTCCAGATGTCCTCCCCAACATTGGTGCCCCCATGCAGGCGCGGCACTGTACATTCATGTAGTCCCCCAGAGCCAGCAAACCCTTCTGAATCTGTACAGCTAACTCTCTTGTTGGAGCCAAGATCAAAGCCTGGGTTTCTCGAACCTGGATATCCAAGCACTGAAGGACTGAAATGCTGAAGGTGGCCGTCTTGCAGGTGCCAGACTGAGACTGTGCTATCACATTGCTCCCCTTAATGATCTGCTTGATAGCGCGCTGCTGAATTGCTGAAGGCTTCTCAAAACCGTAGGCATAGATGCCGCCGCGCAGTAGGTCCTCCCGCAGGCCCATGGTGTCGAACGTGGGGGTCACGTCCACCTCCTCGCTGGTCTCGAACTCTACTTTGGTCATGTCCTCTTTGAGCAGCCGCTTGCGCGTGGAGCCCGACGTCGCCATCGTGGCCATCGTGGCCGTGGTGGCCTTGATTCTGAGTCCACCGGGAGGTGAGGAGCGCCAGCGGGAGTGACCTGACCTTACAAGGCTTTTTTTTTTTTTTCGCGTGTTCTTTTTATTTAAGGGTTTACTCACAGGCAGTATTTAAAGTCAGGCTTTTTAAATTAA